CCCCTGAAGCTCTGAGGCTCCGTGGTCCCCCTGAAGCTCTGAGGCTCCGTGGTCCCCCTGAAGCTCTGAGGCTCCGTGGTCCCCCCTGAAGCTCTGAGGCTCCGTGGTCCCCCTGAAGCTCTGAAGCTCCGTGGCCCCCCTGAAGCTCCGTGGCCCCCCTGAAGCTCCGTGGCCCCCCCTGAAGCTCCGTGGCCCCCCCTGAAGCTCCGTGGCCCCCCTGAAGCTCCGTGGCCCCCCTGAAGCTCCGTGGCCCCTCTGAAGCACCGTGGCCCCCCTGAAGCACCGTGGCCCCCCTGAAGCTCTGTGGCCCCCCTGAAGCTCTGTGGCCGTGGAATCACCTCCATCTTGTCATCATCACATGTTTTCATTCACTTTTAACTCAGCATCATCCTTCAGATTTTAAATGTGGTTCCTCATAGTGAACAGTAGTAGTATTACCGTGGTGATCGTACACGCTGACGTAGGACACGCCGATGGCCATACACCACACCACCATGTTAGCGACGTCCGTGTAGCTGAGCTCCTCCTCCGCCACTAGGAAGCCGATGTGAGCCGGTAGTTTGTCCAGCGACTTCCCGTCAGAGATCCACCGGGACAGACGCTTTGCTCTGCCGCCATCGGTACCAGCGGCCTGTGGGTAGACCGGGAGCTCCGACATGGGGACCGGCAGCAGCAGAGCTGCCATCGTCCGCTGCCAGAAGCGCTCTCTCCATGAACGGATACTGAGTCGGAACCAGGAAGCTGTGGCTCTCTTGATACGGACCACCGCTAAGAGAAGCCGCCATATTAACCCGTAAAGCAGCGCCATGACAGCTGGAGGAGGACCGCTGGGTCTGCTGCAGCTGATTCTTCTTCTATGGTGTTTACAGATTATTACCGCCATCAACAGGACGGAAATGTAATTCAGAAAAAAAAAAAAATTCCTATACATCTTTAAATCTAAAAAAAAAAAAAAAAACTAAATTAAATACATACCTATACACTCACTCACACACACATAAATACTAAATCGTCTCATCTAATATTGTGTTTTTTAAATTCTTAATAAATTACTTAATAAGTGCTTTAACTATATCATGTGATTGATGCTTCCCTAATAAATTGACCATATTTACTTACATATTCCCCTTTCCAGTTATTTCCTCTCTTTTATTTATTTTCTATAATAAATGAACACATGATCTACTCCTTCTGTTTCCCCACAATAAGAACAATCACCTGATGGATGTTTCCCTATCATTTTTAAACCACTATTTAAACTAGTGTGCCCAATCCTCAACCTGTTTATCCTTACTTCCTCTCTCCTATTCATTATACTATGATTTCTTATCATTACGTCCTTCTGTATTTTATGTAAATGCCTTCCTCTTTCTTCTACATTCCATCTCTCCTGCCATATATTATTTATTTTAATCTTTAATTATTACTTTTATTTCTGCTCCACTTAATGGGACATCTACGGAAGAGGATTAGGGCCACTGAAAAAAAGGAAAAAGTTAACTGATTTTTTTTTTTTTTTTATTTCAGTATAGTATGGGAAAAAAGTCAGAATTCTGA